AGAGAGAGAGAGAGAGAGAGAGAGAGAGAGAGAGAGAGAGAGAGAGAGCTGTAAACAAAGATCGATCAGCTTTATTCGCAAGCCATACCACCACCTTATATGCACAACGAGAGATCTCTTCTCTATTATGACGCACAAAGACCCCCCCCGTCGGCGCCGACGTTTCAAAGTCACCTTGAGCATGCGCTATATATATCATCACAAGCTGTCAGCAGCGACAGATGTGCATGCATGCAGGCAGACGCACACAGCTTGCCCGCTAGTTCACCTCTAATGTTTATCTGCAGCAGCAGCTCGGCCGAGTTCCTCCGTCACGTGACCGCATTATGGGGACAAATTAGCCTCGCCTCGCTGCTGCCCGATGTTTGACACGCGCGCTTGTCCACCTCTGCCTTCCTTTCTCTCCCTCTCCCTCTATCCCCCATCCCACTTGTCTCTCCCCACTCTCTCTTTACCCGTCTCTCCATTCCCCCTCCCTTCCTTTCTCTCCCTCTCCCTATCCCCATCTCACTTGTCTTTTCCCCTCTCTCTTCCCCTCCCTTTCCATTCCCTCTCTCTTTCTCATTGTCTCTGTCCCTCTGCCTCACTCCCTCCCTGTCTCTCCCCTTGTGCTCGCCGTGTCTCGTCCCACCTCCCTCTCCCCTCGTCTCCCTCCCCATTTTTATTCCTCTCCGATCCCCCACGATTCTTCCTCCACCCCTTATCTTTCTCCCTTTTCCTTCACCCACCTCTCTCTCCCCCTTCCCTCCACCCACTTCTCTCTCCCCCTCGCCAACTTCCCTCCCTCCTCCAAGCTCTACAGGTGTGTAGCCCATTCGCTCCCGCTATATGCCTACCTGTAGCGGGAGCGCAGGGGCTACACACCGGTAGAGCTATCCCTTCCCGTGCTTCTACGAGCTCACGCGGATACACCGTCTATGAAGTGTGACTGAAGCGTATTTACGCCACTGCGGAAAACGGCGCGGCACACACTGCACCGTTATGATATGTTAATTTTACTATATATGCGCACGCGGCATACCTTGGCTTGATATAACTCAATATAATTTGATGTAACCCAACAAGAGTAGGTTACTATACTCCCACGACTCTTGTTGGGATACATCATGGTATGTATATAGTGCATACCTTGATCCATGCAGAGGTCGGAGTAAAAGCCTTCTCGTTTGAGAATCTGCACCAGCGAAGACCAGCCGAGAAGAACAGCAGAGAATAACACATTCTCGATCACGCTGGTTACCATCAGCCATCTCCTGCGGCTGTATGCGTGGAACTGGGTTGGAGCCATGTTGTATCATGCACCTATAAGAGGGGACAAACACGGGGGAAGAATTAATTAATCGTAATAAATCAAGCTATTTTTGCTTATTCTTCTTCCGTTTCTTTTTCTGGTTCTTCTTCTTCTTCGTCGTCGTCGTCTAGCTTCTTCTCCTTCCTCCTCCTCAGAAAATACCCGACTATGTAATCTTATTAATTCACGTACGATAGCAAGAACACGGTTTGCTCATATTATGTAATATAGTAATACTCACCTTCTATGTTAAACAATTATACGGCTTGCGCACTTTCCCATGAACTGCCCTCGTCGTCTATAAGGATTATCACCATAACCTTGTCGACACACGGACACATTAGCCTCCCACTGATATATAGTCGTCTCTCTTTCTCTTTCTTTCGCTAAAGATCTGTCTTCCTTGAGAGTTATCGTAAAATGGTCATCGCTTCGGTCGCCGGTATCGTATATATATGTAACTTCTGTCGCTCCTGTTCATCCGCTATGTTATGATGCATGCTGCAACGCGCGCAGACGCGTCTGAGTGGTGCGCTAGTCTGCGACACGGACCAATCGCGTAATTCAGACCCTGGATGTCATCTTCAGGTCACGCTAGAGTGGGGGCCCTGTGAGGTGTTTCGGTTGCACTCTGCGGTGCTCCCTATGATAATTTAACTGGAACTCGGCCAATATTTATAGTAGCGTACGTAGTCTTTTCAAGCATTGTTGTTGAAAACCTCCGTGGGTGGGTGCGGGTAGGTTGAGTGTATAGGGTGTTGTGGTCCGGAGAGCAGTGATAGCAGCAGCTAGCGGCGATGTTGTGCATGTGCACGTGAGACTCATGGCGCACGCGTAATGTTTAGATCACGCGCGCGCACAAGGTTTTGCGCAGCGATTGCGCGGGAAAAATAGTTGTTTTCTTGTTGTGTGTATATGATTCACGTGGTGCATGGGGGAGGGTATAGATTCGCATACACCGAGCTGCCTCCCTCCCACTCATCCGCCGTTTGCACTTGCGGTGACCCGCGGTTGCTACGCGCCAGGCTGAGATTCCGGGAGAATGTATATATATATCAAGAGTACTCTCTCTCTCTTGCTCTCTCTCTCTCAACCACCCACACTCTCACACTACCTCTCTCAATCAACTACACTCTCACACTGCCTCTCTCTCTTGAGTTGACAAGAAAAGTATATGTGAGAATGAACGGATAGGGCAAGGGGTAGAGTGTGTGACTTGACGAGGGAGTACAGGTGTGTGTGAATCAGGAGCAGATGCTGGGCCAATAGCGGATAGGAATAACACGTGAACCGTAAGATCCACGCTAAGAAACATAATGAGTGGGATGCACATCAATCGGACATGAGTTTTCATATAAGACAATTCATTTATGAGGATACTAAACGAATTTGAGTCGTAATTTGGAACAGAAACCTAAACCGTCGTACCCACAGAGTGCTAGCTTTGGGTTCATACACACACGCATATACACGTACATCGACGCGTACACGCGCGCACGGCTCAGGGGACATATCACAATTAGCACGCAGCGAATGTGAGCGGTTGCCAGACGATTTCAATTCCCTACGATTCATTGTTGGTGTCGTCACGGAGGTGCTTGGTCGTTTCCTTCGCGCCTTCGTTTCTCCATTCTCTCCAACACACGGGCTGCGCAGTGGTTCGCTCGCTCGGACGCCACCGCCCGCGCACTAAACAAATATGTCAGGACACGCCCTCCAGTCTTGCTTCTCCTTGCACTCCCAGTAGATGCCCTTGTACATGTGGATCAGATTGCCGGTGTACGGGTCCCGTTCCTTGCGGAACCACACCGGTTCGTACGGCTGGAATGGCTTGCCTGCAACAGGAGAAAGGCAATGGCAGAACTTCGATTAGTGGTACGCTCACACATCTAGCAGCATCCCACTGGAGCGAGTTATCTCTCAGACTCCACACTACAGCTTCGTTACCAGCTTCGTTAACAGTGTTAGTACAGTCAAACCTGCGGCACACAACGGTCATACGAGGGGAAAACTTAAAGAGTCCCTCGTAGACCCGCGTACGATCCATGGAGGTGCCTTCGCCGCACGCCACCCTTGCCCCCTCCGTCGCAACGACTGCAACGAAACCCGATAACATCCAGATGAACGGCGTGGGAGCGATCGCCGTCTCCACCCACCAGCAGGTGGCGCCACCCAACCTACCTTCGGCGGACGCTTTCTCTGCCTCCATCTCCTTCTCGCGGCGCTTCACGCGCTGCTTCTCCTCCAGCCTCAGCTTAATGTCGTTCGCCTCATCCCAGCGGCACTCCTCCATCGCCCGCTGGTCCGGCCGCAGCCGCGAGTCCGTCGGTGGAACGTTCTCCTCCATCTCGTTCATCTGCGCGGCGAGCGTCGTGAAGTAGTAGTAGCGCGCCGACTCCGGCCTGAAACACAAGGCAGCGCGCAAGTTAACTATCGCAAATTGTCACAGAAAGCACGCACTGTTAACTATCAAGTTAGCTGTCCAACTTATTAATTTACTGTTGTTAACTATCACAAAT